TGTCATCACACTTAAAAGATTCAGATCAAACTAATTTTAATATTACACAAAGATAATGTGAGTAAATACAAAATGCAGTTTTTAAATAATGATGTAATTTATTAACGGAAAAAAGCTGCCCAAACCTGCCTGGCCCTGCTGTCAAACGATTAATCATGATTAATCGCATACAAAATAAGTTTTTGTTTGCATAAGTGTGTTCTGTGTATATTTATTATGTATACATAAATACACACACATACAATATATACGTAAAAAAGAAACAAAATACTTATTCTGACCTGCACTTATAAAAATATATAAACAAAAACGTGTACATACTAAATTTTATTATATTTTCAAAGACTAAAAACTGTAAAACCTGGAGGTTCGTAAAGTACAGTGGCAAAGATTGATAAAGATTTATAATTATATTTACAATTACAATTAATTAGTTTTTAGGGCCACACTGTGATCCTTATATATCCATCTAATCATTCTGGTTCTAAATATGCTTGACAAGATTTTTTTTTTTTTGTATATAAACTATAGTTACATTGAATAGCATTTTTATAGTTGTCTTCTGTAAAACATGGTAAAACATTTAATAGTCCTTTTTTTTTTTAAGTATGAAAAAAAGGTGTATTAAACTTTCTTTTTGATTCCAACAACAACAACAAAAAAACATCTAGTGTGTGCACTATAATATTTACATAGTATTGTTTTGGATTTTCGTAATATTGCCTTGTGAATCTAACATTAATGCTTTGCAGAACTGATAAAAACAGCACCACTTATTCCTTACATGTTGATACAGTAAGCTGGAAGTCAAAATATGAAGTCTTACCCGGCGGATGCATTCAAGCGTGCAGTTCTGAGGTCTGTAAGACATTTGTTCACCATGGGCACCAAGGAACAAACTGACCAGCAGGAGCAGATCCAGGGTCAGTGTGGGTGGCCACATCCCGCTCCCTTCACCTGTCTGAAGAACCCTGAAAACTGTCTTCGATCCCCAGCGCAGCTGTGTCCTCGAAGCAGATAAGCTGTCTCAGGTCTCGTGAAGAACTAAAGATCAGTTGAATGAAAGCGGAAGGGGTGGAACGGTGGGGGAGGAGGTAGGCAAAGGGTTGGGAGTGAAAACAACAGCAGCTGAGGGAGTGGTGGCCTGGGGGAAAATAGTACAGCTGCAGAGGCTGTCAAAATCCATCAACTGTGCCACCAGGTATGCTTAACCTGATTTACTGTTTTAATACTGCTTTTTTGGCTCTAAACTCAACAGTGCAAATGGAATAATGACCATAATAACTCCACATTTTCCGGCAGCCAATGGCCAAAAACAACATTCTGCATCTGTATAAATAAGATTGGCATTCCCCGAACTGCGATTCCACAAAACACACCATGAGAGATTGATAGTCTATTGTTAGATGTGGCTGTGCAACCTCACGTTTGATTTACAAGCGTTGGTTTTATTCCAGGAAACTACAAATTTTTCAATACGTGAACAACAACAATCTTCAAAAAGCGATGGTAGTCGCGATGGAGCAGTTATGAAATGATTCAACAGGAAACCTCGCAAAGGTACATATATGAGGAATTTATTTTTGAATAGGATTCAAGAAATGACTGAAACACTCATGACGCTATTTACAATCAAGAAGGAGAACATGTCAGGTTAGTTCTGACGATGAGCGCTTGACAGAATGTTCACAATCGGCCTTATCTTCATACAATAAAACTGTGGGTCCAAACAGATATAGATACTCAAAAATGCTACGCAAGATGAAGCATTTTGCTGCCAGGTGTCCATAAAACCAACAACACAGCAAGATGGTTCAGGAACTCTGCAAATCTTGTAGATTTGACATCTCACCGAATCTGAAAAGCAATGCAAAATTGGATGTAAACACGCTATGAATCCAACCACAGCATTTTTTTAACCCCAGAAGACCCATAACATCGCCATGATTTATTTGTACTCTGCCGACATCTTTTTATCATCAATCAAAATCCTTTTTAGCTAGTCCTGGAACACATCAGCGTTTGGTTTTGGTTAGGACCATGTCAGACCATGTCACGATCATGCACGTCAAGTTCACAAAGCTTCTTTCATATGGTTCTGCTACTGAACAAAAAGCTGCAGGAAACTTGTATTCATTCCAGACATGTATTATGGCGATTTCAACCATGACCGGCCTTGCAGATACTCACAGTGTATTTGTCCCATTTTTTTTCAGGATCGTAAGGCTCCCAGCGGCTGGCAGGGAAGATGTGTTTGTTTTTTTCATACCAGCTCCTCAGCACCACTTTTCCCGCATGAGACTAGACAAACGAAGAAACACAAAGAGCTTTGGAAAAATAAGCCAAGAAACATTGTGTCTGAGTTCTCAGGCTGAAACTTCAGTCAGTGAGCTGAGGAAAAAAAAAACATGTCGCTGATTGTCCAAGGTTTGTGGCATCAAATCTTTGAAAGACTTGAAAGAGCTGTTCAACATATCCTGGAGCACAAATGCTGGTTTTCTACAAGAATTCGATCCAATTTCACATTCACCTGCCCTAAAAACATCACATAAAAACAAACAAGTAGGTCTCTTCCTGTCAATTTGGGTGGTTCTTGTCCAAAACGTGGATCAGACTTTATGCTGATAGTCAAAAATCACCTTACCTCGTCCTTCTCAACTGTAGCATCGTTCACCAGTCGAATATCATCATGCACATCAAAACTGAAAAGGGGCCCTGAGGAGAACCAGGAAAGCCTCATTTCAGTGCCATAAACAGAGATACAACACAAAAAGTAGCAGGCTTATGTTAAATTTAATAACCGTTATCCTAAAAACATCAGAGCAGAGTCATGTGTGAAAACAAAAGCCACATGGGAGCCTGTCAAACTAAATGTGGAGGATAAAGTAGAAACTTACCACTTTTGCCTCTTGCTTTAGTCACAATGAAATCATAGAACCTGTGATGCTGGAAGAAAAGCAGGTTTTTAGTCAATGAGAGATGTTTTCTAAAAGGACAAATGAACTATAATCTTTGATTTACTACCGCTTGTCTTTGTGATCAGTTAAACACTTAATAAAATGCCCTTAAACCGTTGTAAAGCAGGTTGCGTCGGAAAAAAAATGTGTAGTTGTGCTTGTCACAAATTCTGACATTCTGACAATGTGATGCACAAGCGCTGCGCATGGTAAACAATGACGTATCTTCCAATGATTTAGGAGTGACTCAACTGGTCTTACATAAGAGAAGATTTAGAAGAATAAACATAGAAGCACTTGAAGATTTGATCCTTTAAAAGCATTAGTTTTGTTGTGGAAACTTTACTCACATGTGGGATTATCAAATCCTCTTTAATGTACATTAGATGCTCCACTCCTGCTGACCTGAAGGACACAAAACAGACTCTGATATTACCTCATAGTTCAAAATTAAAAGCACTAAAACATGTATGTATAACATAAGAAGCCTTCATTGCTCAAAGAGTGTCTGGATTTTGTCTATAGAGTTTTCATTCAACACCAGTTACGTGACACGAACAGCACACTTGAAAATTAAATATGACATGCTTTCAGCATGCATTTGAAATTCAAGGAATTTCACACATTCAATATTTACTCACTGTAAGTTACACTGCATTTTAACTGGAGCATGTCCCTCTTTAATGGATTTACACAAAGGCGATTAACACCTCCATCAATTTAAAATAAATAATATTCTGATTAGACAGAATTTGTCTTTTTGTCTGCCAATTATACGCAACATTTTATCAACACAGAATCAAAGCCTACACTATTCTAAAGTGTTTTTAAGCGATTTTAGGAAAGATTTGAGGAAACTCTAAAACGGACTAGCTGGACTAACTCTTGTGTATTAAAACTAATAAAGTGTTTTAATAGCAGGTGGAAATGAATGTGTTTACCTCAGCTCACTGAAGTCTTTTCTTAAAACTTCCAGGGCTCTTTGGAGAAACTGTTGAATTGTGCTGCCTTTCTTCATCTACACAAACACACACAAAATGTATATTAAATGTTAACATTTTAAATTAAACAGAACATGTTTGTCCAATTTGCACACGCAACATAGTAACAACAATGTAACTCATTTTGGGTGTGGCTTGTAGTAAGAACATTTGATAACCTGCATTTACCTTGACAGTTTTTCGATGCCCTGAGCCATCCCAGTAGCTGAAAGTGATTTCAATTTCTTCACCTAAAAAGAGCCGAAGAACAGGTTTGTAGGATGCTTCTTTTGGTTGATGGTTGCATGAGGATTTATGAGCTACTTCATAACTAGACAAGTCAAAATTTAATTAGGAATGAGTCTATAGATTCAGTTGTACCCTTGGCCAGGTTCACTGATATCAAACAAAAGATAATATCCATAACAGCACTTTGTGATCTGCATATCTTACTTTTGATCTTTTCTTGTTTTCTTTCCCACTCCTGCCTGAGTTCCTCTCTTAAACGATTTTCTTCTTCCTGAAACACACATTTTACGCAGTTACACAAACACAAAACATCTTATTCACAGGTTTTTGGTAAGTTTTCCCAAACTCAACTGTATTTTTCAAATGCTTATAACTACCAAATACAACTTTTGCCAATTTTTAGGAGTTCACGAATGTATAGTCATGGACTGCAAGCATCAAAACTTGTGGGGGATTTAAAACTAAAAACTCTTAAAATGTCTTTAACGAAAAAAAAAACTTAATTGACAGCATGATGTGATTACAAAATAAATTCATTCAAGATTTTTATTTTTGAGGCAGTTGATACACACACATACATAGTGTGATCATAACTGTCAAGATCATCAAATCACTTTTTTTTTCTTTATATCCAATGTATGTTTAACTTTTGAAAACAATCCAAAGCTGTGGGTATAAGCTCTTTATTAGACTCATTGACACATATACGACATGCATAGGTCTTATACCCACAGTACAAATGCAAACAAAAGCTTCGTGACAAATTACAGGTAATCTGTCAGACCTAAGGATCTTGCTATTCACCACACCTCAGTGGAAACTGCCTGGAAATGAGCCAAAGAATGCAAACAAACAATCACACCAGCAAAACTACAATTCTTGTGGCGGTTAACATTGGTACACGGCTTTGTGATAAAGCTCAGAATGATGTCTCAATGTGTGCTGACACCTGAGCAACGTCTCTGCAAAAACGGCATACTTTTATTTGATGTATAGCCCAGAGGAGGCTCGTGTTAAACCAACAGTCTTGTATAACAGCATTCAGATCCTTAAAAAGAGGTCTTTAGGACAATCACTCCACACTCTTTGACACGGAAAGCAAATGCAATTATTTTAGAGTGTTTTTTTGCTTCTCTAATCTATTTGTTGAATATAAACTAGGTATACATGTGTTAACAGAGTCTCAAGAGCAGGATATTTACCTCTCTGTCCCTGTCTGGCAGGAAACTGGTGTCCACATCTGGGTTCTTCCCTAGTTTTTTCTTCTTTGCAGGTATGCCTGTTATAAAAAATATAAATATATAATAAAAAAAGACTTAAAATTACTTCATATGTGTTGATTCTGCCATGGAATAACTAATAAAAGCACTTTTACATATTGGCTGCACAACTTTAAAATACTGGTTAGGAATTAAGAATCTAAGAGTCATAGTGCTGAATATGCAGGCCTTTTCGCAATTTTTGTGTTGGTTTTAGGGTAAACTAAGCAGGATGCATTTAAACATGGTATGGGACCATGGACGTCTGCACTTATTGAAATCTTACTGAAACATTTATTAGAAATTTTAACAGTTTTGCAGACAGCTGTTCCACTTCCATGGAAAACTGCAAAGTAAAATGTCATACAAATCTCCTCCTCAGTTTCCTCTTCCTCCTCTTCTTCCGCTCCTTCATCTGGATTGAAGGATAAACTGGCAATCTTCCTTTTCTGCTCTTCCTTTCTTTTCTTCTCCTTCTGTTTCTCAAGCTTCCTACAAGAACAGACCAAATAAGAAGCTTTAAGACCAAACTTTATACAGATTTTAAAGGAAAAAGTAGGGATGCACCGATACCGATACTGGTCTCCTGTACTCGTACTCGTTAAAATGCCCCGATACCAAACGCCGATACCACACAGCATGTGATAAGCGCCATATTCAAACAAAGAAACACCACAAACAGAACAACAGACAGCAGAAAGGAGTTAAGGATGTCTACTACGAAGTATATGTATGCAATGAATATAATGTTAAACATTCAGTATTAACGCCTGTATAGCTGGTGTGCGCGAGCTAATAAACAAAGCACGCTGAGTGGATTGAGCAGATGCACGAGCTTGTCGAGT